GTGTGTTTGTGTGTGTATGGGTGGGTGTGTAGAGGGGTAATATTTTTTGCATGGTCACGCAAACATCTGTGTGCTGTCACTTTAGCATGTGTGCACACTGCACGACTGTACCACAGGGTGTTTGCAGCTTTTACCAAGTTTGAATTATGACTTTTATGACCTAATTGATGCCAGTTAGAAATGAAATACAAGCCTTCGTTCCACAAGGGGGAAAAATGTGAAACTGGAAACAATTGTGTGCCTATCAGCATGGAATCCTCTGTGATGGGGCATTTAGGGGCATCCAGAAGAAACAAAGAACATATGTGAAAAACTGAAGTAATTGCTCCAACTTAAGTCTTACTTTCTGCATTTTGACCATCACTTCTATCACTTCACTCCCAGTAAATGCAGGTTAATGACTACAGCCTAGTTCCCACTCGCGATCGCATCTCTAAAGAGTTTACAAATAGCGATTGGCAAACAACTATTTCACTTTTGTTCTGTCTTTAAAATAAGTTTGTCAAACCTGGACTTTGGGGAAGCATTGCTGCAGAAAATAACTTTCTTAGCGCAATGTTGACAGGAAAGCCAAAACTACAGACAGAGACTTAAATTTATATTCTCTGGCTCTACAGACACCCTAGTGGCAGCATGTCCACCTTGTTGCATCTCACCTGGAAGCCCTGGATGCGAGCCAGGTAGTCCAACTGCTGTGCAGGCTGCACCGAGACGCCACAGGCAAGAGCCGGGTTCTTCCCTTTTATGGGCAGGGAGGCGTCAGCAGTGGGTGACTGACCATTAAGAAGCAGCTCCCTGGCCATGGTAGCAGTTGGGCTAGGTGAAGAGGCTGAGCCGCTGTAGTATGGAGGGTGTCCTGGGGGCAGCGGGGCAGAGCAGGGTCCCATGTCTTTGGATGGTATGTAGTTGACAGAGTTGCCGCTGTTGCCGCTGCCGCCAGGGCCCGAGGCACTGCCCCCCTGCTTCCTGCTGGCCTCCATCTCCTGGTAGACATCGGGGCTGAGGTGGAGCAGACCTTTCTGTGCTGGAGGGGTCAAGGAAGAGGGGAGGGAGGAGAGGAAAACAGGAACAAATTAAATGATGGATGAATTAACCGAGATGACGAATGGTGTTTATTAAGAGCAGAATGAGACAGAGTAGAAGAAAGAGGGAGAAGGGAGAGAAAATAGTTTATTATTCCTCTCGGAATTAAAGGTCAAATGATCTAAATACACACATTCCTCTGCTGCTCACTGCCCCATGAAAGTTTCTTCTAGAGGTCGTCATGGCCTCTAGAATAAACTTTGGACCCGACCAGGAACAGACTCACCCGTACCTCACATGCATGAATTTATTTATGTGGTTTGGCATTTCCGAGCACTTTCAAAGTGTCTGTTGGATAACACACAAAGCCTCTTACTTTCTCACGATAAAACACAAAGACACGGACACAAATGGAGAATCTACCAATATCAGATTGGATTTGACTTCATCATTGATGGAAAACGGCATCGTCAGCTAACTGGCGTCCTGCTTCACTTCTAACGTCTCTTTAACAACAGACATGTTAGAACTCAGAGGCAGGTTCACTCTCAGATCAAGGTTCTTGACAGAATATTTCAGTGGCTCCAGGAAACATCCTGAGTGATTTTGATCCAGGATGCGGAGGAACCTTTGTTGTCTGAGCGGCTTTTCTTCAACAGGATGCAGCTCAATCCAGACATGCAGTGGTTTTAGCCAGCAAAGCGCAACAGGATCCAAGCCCATGTTTGCAATCCAGACCATTTGGACAAATCGAAATGTTGGCTTCCTACACTCTGACATCAATGTCCTGAAATGGTCGTGACAGGTGGAAAAGGGGGGAAACACCAACGAGTTTCGTCACTTTGTGGCTGCGGTAGAAATGAGAAGAAAGAAAATGAGATGTGAAAAGAGAAGACGACATGTGAAGGGAGAGTAAAGGAGGAAAAAAAGAGGGATGAGCTCGGAGCCAGTTCAGATGGAAGATGAGGTGGGGATGTGAAACCCATGCGGAGCCTCCGAAGTCCAGCCAAGGTCACCAGAGACAGGAAGACCAGCTGTGTATGTGTCTGTGCGTACGTCTGTGGGCTTGTTTGTGTGTGCGTACAGACCAACAGCTGGGAGAAAGTGCTGGAGTGAGCACATGACTGACAGGACACTTCCTGTTTGAGTTAACATTACCATCTCACACACAGACACACACGCTAGTCTAGGGTTTCTGGGAACCTGCAGACAGTATTTCCAATTATGAACAATGAAGTTTGCGTTACTTTCCAGAGAAGCAGAAAAGCTAAAGGAAACAGCAATGAAATCCAGGACTTATTACTCATACTACAACAAACTGCCCCATGCCAACAATGACACAACTGCTAGGATTTTTCCCCCCCTCCCAATCATGATGACAACTTTAATTTAAATTTACACAAGTAAAACTTGCAGGCCTTTTGCATTCTGAGATGTAGAGTCATAAAAAAATGAAAGGTGTTAGCCAACATGACATCAGCAGTGGAGACAAAGGGTACTGAAGAGAGGGGGGGGGCAGTGAATGTAATCCATGTGAGTGTGTGTGATTGTCTGCTTAAGTGTGCGTGGGCGTGCATGTGAGGATGTTTGCATGTGATTGAGCGCTCGAAGCCGGTGTCAGATGGCAAACAAGAGCGTGAGAGCAGAGAGCAAGAGTGAGACAAAAGGAGGAGACGTAGTGAGAGTGAATAAGAAAGAGTGACGAAGTGTGTTTGTGCGTGAGGATGTTGGACAGCGATTGTGAAATTGTGTACATGAAGTGGGAAGCAAGTTGGGAGAAAGGAGAGAGAGCAGTGGGGGGAGAAGGCAAAGGAGAGTGTGTTTGTGGTGCTGGTTCCAGGCAGTTTTGGAGGGGTCCCACCCAGGCTCGGCGTCCAGTGGGCCAGGGGAGCGCTGGAGGGAAGCCAGAGTCAAGCATGAGACTGATCGAAAACAGATAGGGCTGAAGCCCGCCGCTATAAATCACCACGGTGGAGCAAGACCTTCACATAGTTCACACATGCACAAAACGGACGGACACACGCACACACACAAATATATGCACAGCAGGAAATGAAATGTGGCAACTCGAGAGAAAAGCCCTGCTGCAATACCCAGGGGAATAGAAGAAAGAAAAATCACTCTCCTCTTACTTCTTTTTTACTCTCCCTTCCTGTCTCCAAGCCACCGTGTTTGTTGTAGCACTGCATCCCACAGCTTACCAGGGCAAAGGACACTGACACACACACACACACACACACACACACACACACACACACACACACACACACACACACACACACACACACACACACACACACACAGTGCTTGTGGGTGTCTGAGGTGTGTGTGTTTCATGTGGAAGATGAACAGAAGGACAGAGCCATTAAAGGACAGGCTGTGACACATTTACCTAATTTCTCTTTTCTTACGTAATGCTGCAGTGGTGTAGTGCTACTTTGAGTACTGGAGTGCACGTATGCCCCGAAAGCTTACGTCTGCACATGCATGGTCAAGTTGTGGCAAGTTATACATAACAGAATACATGATGAAATGTTAAACTGACTTGTTTATAGAATATTACGCAGCAGTCAGCCATGCGTCGAGCTTGTTAAACGAAAAATGAAAATCACTCATTATCTACTCACCACTATGCCAATGGAGCAGTCAAAATGTTGCTTCATTTGGTGGATTTCAATGAAGAGCACTTTAGGAGCTATTATTGCTGAGCTGAGTCAAATGCTCTGGCAAACTAAACAGAGCTGGCATTCAGGATACAACAAGTTGCTCTTCCTCTACTTGAGCCTCTGAGACAATTGCTCTATGTTGCACATAGCGGCTGAGAGGAGCTCTGACACCTGTATTATTGAAGCAGACTTGCAGTACCCATAAGTAACCACCGGTGTCATGAAATAAGTAAGGAAAGATATTATCTAGAGTGTGACTTGAAAAGCCTTCTAAGATTGTATAGGGCCTGTGAAGTTTTCTTGTGGCTAAACTTGGATTTTGTTGGAGTTACACGTTGCATTTCTCACTGAAACGGATTGTTTGTCTCTTTAAGAAAAAACAAAAATGAATCTTCTCTCTCATAAAAGGTAAAGTCCGGAGAATTGGGTCTAGACTTTACCCGGACTTTGCCTTTTACACATGCACAATGCAGTGGGAGGTTCTCTGCACACACGCGTTCACAACAGCAACAAATCAAATCATCCGCATTGTTCAGGCGACAGGTGGTGCAGCCGGATGCAGCAGACAGAGGCAGGAAGTGATGTATTTATTCCGTCGCAGAGGTAACGAGATCATGTTTACAGAACCCCAACACTGACTCTTATCAACACAAGCTCTCTTGACATCTTGTGTCACCACTGTCTTCACCGGGAGATATTTGTTTTCTTTTTGCCAACTTTTTTGCATCTGTCACTTGTTAGCAGCACCATTAACCCCCTAACTAACTCGGGGTGAATCCAGCGGGGGATCCTCTACTGTGTTCACACATCAAATTGTCCTGACATTTGGCGGACTTTATCAAAGGGGCCAAGCAGAAAGAGTCCGCAGACTTGGCTCTCACTCAGATATTTGCATTCACACACACCTCCTCTGAGAAAATACGAAGGATCTGCAGAGTTCAATGCATGTCTGAAATGAGCTTTAGAAAGCTCCATTTTTAGACCATTATATTGTGCAACATTTGCATCCAAGTTCGTTTGCCAGCGGCCTTTTTGGTTGGCACGCAACTGCCACCGACTGTCAATCAGCGGAATAGTGTAAAACCAACAGCAGGATGTGAATTACGCCACGCACGCTTGCACGTTTGAATCTGCCTGCATGATACAAATAAAAGGACACACACGTAAGACACTGCAGCACAGTGCCTCTTAATAATAGGAAAGGACTTTGCTCCGAAAGTAAGAGTTTGATGTGTAAATATCAAGATAAATGACTTTGGTCGAAACTTTGATCACACAGAAATAGCTCAAGACAACCTATTCTCTATTGCTTGAGTGAGAGTGTGTGTGTGTGTTTTTCCCCAATAAATACACGTCAGCACAAACTACGACTCAGCACTGTTTCTCACATATTAAAACTTTTTACAATCGCTCTCATTCCAGAGCTTATTTTTTTATTGAATACTCTGCAATTCTGCAAACTGATTGAGTTATTCCTTCTTCCATTTAATGAACAACAAAGTCAATCAAAACAACAGACACACCAGAAATATCTTCTATTCAGCAACCATAGACACACACATAGAAAACCGAGAGCAGCTGCATCTGTTTGAGTGAGTTGTAAATGGTGTTTATGCAATAAACATTATTCAGACATTAACGTCGTGTGAGTGTTCTGTGGTTTGGGCAACTTTAAAGAGGTAATTAGCAGACAGTTAAGCCTCACGCTGAGTGTGAGATAAACTATGAGTCGGAATGGCACGGGACCAAAGACACACTCCATGCCAGTAACAGGAATAATCACCAAAGAAGGAAGACGTGGTTTCCCAGGGGGCTCTTCTGTGGAGGTATTGGGCAAGGCCTTGAGCGTGGGCTACCATAGAAACCACAACCACCAAAATAAGTATATCCACCAGAGCAATCTGTTATCCCTAAACACAATTTAGGAGATATATCTTTCACAAAATTGGACTTAATCACAGATATGATTGCTGTGTAAATTGTGGCAGGGGCTCCGTTGTCATCTGGATTCTGTATATGGAGCGTGGACCAGCAATGAGCAAACACAAGAAGTGCGAGTGATTAGTCTCACCCGTCTGCTTTGTTCTTTTCAACATTGGAAAAGCTGAAACATCACATCAATTCTCCTCTCTGCGCCGAAGCTGGATACCCCTGTGCTGGCAGCTCTGCCAAAAGCCTCCATTAGACCCAAGTGACGACAGCACATTCAAATCTAATAAGGCTATCTGTTTGTTTTCCACTCTGCTGCTCCACATCTCACAGGCTATTCATTTGTCCCTTAAACGGCTCTTTCTCCAGCTGCTGGCATTTACTCCACTGCCATTTGGAGTAAAACTGCTCGCAGTGGTTTTATCAGGCTGGGACATCACAGCAAATCAAACTCAGGTAATACGACGCACGAAATCTGCTGAAGCTAAACCAAGACAAGGAATTCTTTGCTTATTTTACCTTTAACAAATATTAACTTACTTAGCTCTCACACCATGTGGAAAAATGGCAGCAGTGCCAGATACCGGAGACCAGGAAAACAACTGAAAATAGAAAGTGAAGTCTTGAAATAGCAATTTGTCTTTCTGCGAGCAGAAGATCTTTTTAATGTTTTTATTTTGATTACAGACAAGACGGCCAACTCAACAACAGACACAGCTGATAGAGACCAGCTGCTTCCTACAAAATTACATCCATACACTTCTTAGAGAACAGTCCTTCACCCTCTGTAAATGAAACGTCCCTTAGGGCCATTGCATTCCCACGTAGATTCATACATAAATCCTGTCATGAAACTATTTTGTCTACAGTATAGATTTTCCATAAAAAGAGGATTTTTTCCAAATGAGAGAATGACTGAGGAGTCTTTTATGTGCCTCTGCGTTTGCTTCATATCTGATTCCATTTTTGACATAGACAGATGGAAGGAGACAATCAACAGGGTTTATCTTGGCTTTTTGCAGTAACGTAGAATCTTGTGTTATGCCTTTGTTACAGCACTTTGACATGCTATTTTTCAGTGCAGCAGGAGACTAAACAAGAATTAAGCCTTGTACGAGACTTAATCCTACACAGAAAATCTGGGGTATGTGTACGCAGACATGGTTTAGACACAGATGCACGAGAAAATGTTATGTCGACCTCCTGACAGCAAGAGATGGGGCTTATTTGTTTGTTATGTCGGTTGAACACAAAGAAAAAGTAAAAAAACAAAGACGACCGTGTTGGTAACATCTTAACAAAGGATGTGGAATCCAGTACCCAGCAGCACTCAGTTTACTTCTATCTGCACAGGGGCCTGAGTGTGTAGAAAATTACCCTCACAACCAATATGATGGAGTACTACACTGAATAAATATAAAGAATAAAGTCATAATTTCAGGCGACATGTCATGTTAGAGGGAGGAAATCATTAGACACTCACTTAGTAAAGGTTTCACTAACAACACTACATTTAATCTTTTGGCTCATCAGCACCACATCATCATGAGTATCAGGACTTTGAAAAGAATCACACAGACTTGGACAAAGTTTCCTCTTTGAGAGGAAATGTGTGGTAGTAGTCGACTGCAAGGTTATTATTGATTATATCTGCGTGATATTGAAGGGCTTTCATATTTTCCTCAAGAAACAATTCTGGATTCAGAAGAAGCGGAACTATGACGTAATATTATGACTTTGTACTCTTATGATACAACTCTTCTCTTGTTAAAGGACCTGAATTGCTTTTTCTTAAATATGTCCCTAATACTCCGTCACAGAATGGAAATATTGGCATGACTTGATGAATTCAGTTTTAGACAAGCTGACCCATACTGTGTAAACAAGCGTGACTAAAAACCACCAGGCGCTGGATCACCTGAGTTTAACCTTAATTGCATAAACATACCTACATATATTAAAATATACATATATCTTGAAGAAAACGGCTTCTATCCTTGTGGCATCATTTGCCAATAACGGCATAATTGCATAAATGAACGTAGTCACAAGCTGAGACTAAAGGGACATCACACAGAGCATGCTACTATACATAGTATGTTGTACAACAATACTGCTTTATGGGTTAACGTGCACCAACTGTGTAGCAGTGTTTGCATTGACAATTGAGTTAATTCAAAGTTCCAGTACTTTTAATTGGCTCTTTATCTTATTTTGCCTGCAGCTGGCATGTGTTAGACACCACCAAGTGAGATATATCTTGCTTCATATAAAGCCTTATATCATATCATCACATATCCTGCCTCATGATGTGCTTTGTGTCTCAGTGTGCGTAGGATTAAGGGAATGTGTGTGTGTGTGTGCATCTGGACTCCTGCGTGCTTGTGTGTTAATCCTGAGTGAAAGACTACGTTTTTTGCACAGGAAGGCAGTGGGGGGACTCCCCGGAGGGCCTCAGTGTGCCGGCTCTGTAAGCCTGTATGAATGAGCCTGAATTCGCAGGCTCCCCACGAGGACGCACGGCCGATTAAGCTGACAGTCAGAGGCCCATTGACCAGTCACAGAGATTAAACGCCGGGCCATCTCGACAGCTAAAACCACCTGCAGGATGGAGGGAACGATAGACAGCCGGAGAGGAGGAGGAGAAGGAAGTGGGAGAGAGACACAGGGAGACGTGCGGATACTCACTGTTACTTGTCGCTTCGGTAAAGGACGCCTTTTGTCCGTTCCAGCCTTTGTTGTCCATCTGTAGTGATGCAGAGAGAAGGAGAGAAGGGGGAGGTAAAGAGAGATGTAGATTCTTGAACAGACAGCTTCTTCACGCATGTCTGACAAGTTCCTTCCTACTGTTTGGGCCACAAAGAGACGAGCGCTCACAGGAGGGGATGCTTAAGGAGCCTAGTGTCTGTCTAGGCCAGCTACTTAATTAAAGGGGTTGTCAACATTTAGCAACTATAAAAAGGCTCTTATTCAGTGTGTTTCTTCTGCTGTGGTATGCGTAAACACACACAGCCATAAACACGTGTGTGAAAATGAAAATGTCTGATGTGTGTGACAGCTAAGAAGATGACATGATTGTAAACAAATACCAACCCCCCCCTCAAGTATCTCAGTCACATACACACACGCAAGTCTCTTCTCACTCCACAGATCACCCACAGTCCCATGATGGGAGTGTAGTGCAACACAGTTGGCAACAATAGGGGAGGCAGGGAAGGATGGAGGGCGATAGAGAGAGAGATCTATAGAAATCAACCTATCCCACAAATATTGTTTAATTATTCCACAGAGCTCGGGGTTGTCTAAGTAATCTAAAGAATCTAAAAGAATTCTTATAGAGATGTTTTCAGCATTGTCATGTCAATGCACAGCCATGTATCAGCCCCCAAATCCATTGTGTCTAAATATTCTGGCTTGAGTGTAACCAGAAATGTCTCTCTGCTTATTTCCAGTTCAGCACACACTCATTTATCTGAAACCTTGTCATCAAATCATGGTGGTTTATGGGGCTATGGAATTAAACCATGCAACGAGGTGGACAGGAATTTAATAACTTTCCAAAATTTCCATGTCGACACTTGTCACATTTTTAGTGTGCTTAGGGTTCAGCACTTTTAAACATGTGATGAGCTGAAGCATAAGACGTTTTTCAGGGGGAAATACAGAACAGACCAATCTCAATATTAGACTACTCAGTATGAGGATTAAGTCAAAAACGGAAACATTGAATGCAAACTGTGTTTTGGGTTCTATTGAGAACAGAAACCAACTTCACAGTCATCCTTTTGCTGTATGGTATGGCTGTCTGAATAAGATATATGCAGCGGCACATATCTAACTAATGAGCAGTCTGGGGGACGCTGAATAATCCTGGTTCTTGGTTATGTAACCACATCTCTATCTAAATCTGCTCCCTTGAGCTTAAAGATCAGTGGGGTGAATAAAGTATTTCTGATTCTGAAGATGATTCTGATCAATGGCTGCTTGCAAAACACGTTCAGTTCAGAGGAGCTGAGCAGTTTACATAAGAGAGTCCAGCAGTGCTGGGAATGCGTGATATACATGAGGATCGACTGGGTATCAGTATTCCATGAATTCTGCACAGGGCTGTAGAGATGAGATGTAGTGTATAGACAAAATCATGTGGTGCATAGAATTTCTTTTTATGTAATCCTTCAGCATACAGCTGCATAGGCACTCACTGACCAGCATCGCCATCCCTGGAGCCCTGCTGCTAACATGTCCAGAATACCAATTGCAAAATGTGTTACATGACATGAGTAAGAGTGTGTAACATTATAAAACATGGGTGCAGTGCCTAAGCATTCCTGCACAGCAGGATCGAGAGTAAAAAGGGCGACAGTAACTCAGTCAGAATGTGAGATGCACACAGACGTTCTGCAAAAATGATGGTTATTTGTCAGTTTGTTTTGCGCTTCACTTCACAGTTTCAGGAAACATGCATGAGTGCATCTCCTTTCAAACTGGGTGCATCTCCTTGTGTGCAGGTCAATTACACAACAATGTGAAAGCGATCAATTCATCACTGACCGCATTTTTCCGCTACTCTTCCAGTGAAAGTCGAAATGAATGTGGAAAAGAAAACATTGCCTGTTGATGTAATATGTATACTTATTTACGAAATGCACAACAGCCAGTTGCTGTGTGCTCAGATTAAAATAAATATATTCTTTAACAATTAATTGACTATTAAAATGTGTTAAAGTACACACCATTTAACTGCAAGTTCAATTTCATTTTGTTTTGTGATGTTTATCACCAAGAGCTTGTTGGATGTTAACCCCACCTGTTGTCTGTGGGCACATCACCATGTTGGTCCTGCATATCCTATATATGGGTGTGGTATCTTCATCTACACATATTGACCTAGCAAAGATCTGTGTTAAGAAGTTGTGTATCCAAAGTCATGTTTTAGGAGTCGAGCTGATTATTAGAAGCTTCACACCAACATGTAAACTATATGCTTACAGTTATCGTGCAGTACAATAAATGAAAAGTTATACAACCAAAAGGAGTGGTATGTATATTAATCTGCTACAGAAGATGTGAGTCGGTGTAAGCATCGGCGGTAAAGCAGATCTCGTACCTCGGTGGGGTTCTGAGGGACTGTAGAGGCCTTGTATCCCAGTTGCAGCAGCATCGCCTCAGCTGCGTTCCGCTTGGCCACTTTCTTGTTGGGTCCTGTTCCTGTGGCAACCTCGTTATTCACCTTCACCTGCATGTGCACGGATGCGAGAACAGACACAGGAGAAAACACATGTCTAAGTGCATGAGACACATTTGCCCAGGTGATACTGGTTCACACAGTTTTTCCATGACTCTTCACACTTTCAGTCGAGAACACTTTGCTTTGCTTTCTGGCTCGAGTCAACCGTGCAATTTGCATCGCACAAGAAGGCTCCAAGTGAAGTGTTTGTTTTTCAGTGATCCCAAAACATTAAATCTGTCTACACAGAATGTAAACAGATATTTCCAAGAGAATATCAGACGTCGTTATGTTATGCAAACAGACAATTACACTGTACAAATACCATTTGGGGAGCCAAGGCCTGTGAAGAGCCAGGCCTCAGTGCACTTATTCAAAGTGGTCCGACATGCTCACTGAGAGCTGGTCTGCATGCATCAAGTAAGCCGCAACTTACACTGAGCAGGACAGCCTCAATAAATTACCAAATTACTAAAATAAACACAATTACTCTTTTATTAAATTTTATAAGATGATCAGCACCACAAAGTCTTCAGGCAAAAGTGGAGTCTTTTTCTGACAAAAGACGTGAAAACAGAGACTCATTTGAGCCCTGCTGCTTATGGAGGGAAACAATGTGGAAATTTTAGAAGAGTGAGTGGATGGCACAAAAGGAACGCACACACTCGCAGGGCTTAATGTGTGTATCAAAGAGGCATGGAGAATAGGTCTGAGGCTGAATTACTCCCTGATGCTAAGAGAAGCTCTGTTCCTCATGTGAAAGAAAAGATTCACGGAAGGAGAAACAAAGAGTGACAGTTTGACTGAGAGAGACAGACACAGACGGAGACACTGCTGTTAAAATGGGCATACATTAAAATGGACTGGGCTTTGCTGGTTGTTTGAACAGCAACAAAGCTAAGAAACAGACTCTGACTTGACTTAAATCTTGATGATACACACCGACCTTTTAGTGTGGTCCATGTCCCACCCACTAACATATCAGAGGCGTGGTTAATTAAACTATACAATATACTACAGCCAGCTTCCTGCTGGCTGTAGTATTGATGGTTTGTCTCGGGGAGCAGTCATGTCATCCATCTTTTTATACAGTGTATGATGTAGACAATAACCTGCTTTCTCTGATCAGCTACATTCCTGTTATAGCTACAAAGCACTTACATGATTCACAGTAGAGACCATTTAAAAAGAACATTTTTACGATTTGTAAAAGCCTTTACAAATTGTGCTTGATAGAATGTTTCATGTCTAATGGTGAGCAAGTCATTACAGCATGACTGAAACTGAATTCAAAAGGGAAACTGAATAAATGCTTTTTGTGATACATTGTCTCACTATGCAGATTAATTCCTTGATCTTGCTGTTACTAAATTAATAGCGTTCATGAACTGAGAAACACCGGCAGAAACGATAGCAGAAGGTAAGAGATAGCTTTAAGTTTCGACCATGTAAAGTAATAGGGATAAAATGGATACATGCAAAGTCAGTTTCAATTAAGAATCAGGTAAATCTAATTTAAGGCTGAGAATATAAACCATACCATGAACTAATTAACAGGTTGGCAATAAACTAAACATCTAAAGATGTCAAATACAGCAGAACATGCAACTCAGAAATCTGTTAGGTTTCCTTCCACATACAAAGTTCTGTTTACTGGATTAGTGATAAACAGCAAATCATCTCTAACTTTGTTAAGTGTTAAAGGTCGCTGCTGCAGCGAGACCATGAAATCTTATTCTGTTAATGAACACTGGCTCCCGACTATACACCACCATAGTCTCATGTGTAATTCTGAGGCACGGAACACCATCTGTGTGCTTTCTTTACAGGCAGCCACAGCTTGAAATCTAAATCAAACAGTATAAAAAAGTTGGCTGAACCACTGAGGGACAACGGAGCAGTTAAAATGGATATGAATCTATTTGAGGTTTAACTGCATGTAATAAAAACGGTGAATATTTAAAGGAACGTTTCAGGGGAGGAGGAGAAACAGAGAGAGGAAGAGAGGAAAAGGGAGGTCAGAAATCATAACAGTGTAAAGAGTAGGATTTCTAATTTAATAAATGATCTCCTACATACAAAATGGTAACAGAGCTGACATGTGCTTGCTGTGAAAAGCAGGACACATGGAGACCTCACTTAATCAATCTTTATTAATCTTTATTATTCTTTATTAATCAGAAATTAGCAGCAGAGCAGACGCCTGATGTAACCTTGTGATGTTGACCCTCTTTGCCTCAGGCCTTGTCCTACAACATGGAGTACATGTTGTCTGTGTCCAAGACTGGGCTGGGAGAGCCCACATGACAAAAATAGGAAACCAGATCATGGTCTCACGAGGAAACTAAGAAAGTTGTGCTCTTGAGTAAAGAGGTTACATAATGCTGCCGGCTTCCTTTGGTCAGACAGAGAGGGTCTATTCTCGCTCTCACAATTGGCTTGCTCTCCCAAAAAGGTGATAAAGCACCTTCTTAAATAAATTCCTACTCATACCCTGATCCTCTCATTTATCCATGAAGGTAAATTAAAGCAGATTATCATTCAGCTCCTGTGCCTCATAGGCAATTCCATTAGATTTGCATATATTTGCTAAAGGAACCTTGTTTCTTACAAGAACATATTCTGTGACAGGATTATGTAACAAATTAATTACTGACCTGCATGATGAACTCCCGGCGTCGGGGCATCCCCCTCTCTGAGAGCAGCAGGTACTCGGGCTCCCTCTCCTTCTTGGCCTGTTGGATCTGGGCTAGACGACTGATGGGGTTCATGCCCTGGCCATAGTCTGGTCCCGTCTGGCAAGAAAAGAGGAGACACGTGGTGATTGATTTTTAACATCAGATTCTATTATTGCCTCATCGGAAGTTCAGTGAGTCTATCTGATAAAAGGTGTGTGTGTTCCTTCGTAATCCAAAGCAGTTGATGGGTTCAAGGAAATGATTTAAGATTGAACAGATAGACGACAAGGTAACAGTTTTAAGTAGGGAAAAGTATCTCACAGTATTGTATTTCACAGATTTCTTACAGCGCCAATGAAACTGGCATGAGATGATTCTGTTGTCCTAAAGAGTCTGATGAATGGTCAGTAGCAACACCTTTAAGTTGACTGCATCTTGACAGATGCCTTGAGTGTGTCAATCATGTTCCTCTTTACGTGGCCATTTGAATTCACAGAACAAAATAGCCGGCCTTTGGACCCACACTCTTGCCAGCCTGTACCTTGAGGATGGTTTTGGTGCGTTTCTTGTAATGCGTCTTGGGTTTCTCCACGGCGGGGATGAAGGGCAGCTTTTTCAGGTCTTGCAGAATGGACAGAGCGGCACGCTTTTTGGACAGCTTCTTGCTATTTCCTTCACCTTCGGCAGAGAACTCCCCCACAGAGACGCGAGTCAGGAAGCTTTTCATGTGCGGGGGGCCGCTCTCCTTCAACACCTGGTGACACGAGGTGGAAATGAAGGGACTTGTGTAAATAAGCATTTAGTACATTTTGTGTTGCACAAGGTTGGTCACAAAATGTCTTACAGAAAACAGACAAACAGTTAAAAGATAAAGTGGAGGACGGACAATAAATCTGTGACTAAGCGTTTTTGTTGTGTGTGATATGTGTGAGGGTGTGTGCGCAGCGTGCTCTGCGAGCAGCTACACCAGGTGGTCCAAAACATCTGCTCTTGATGGTCACGGTGCTACCCACCCATATGTGTTATTCATATACAAAACACACACACATACACGCACAAACACACATATGAAGAGTAACATGTTCCTAGATGACAGTCCCTGGTGATAAAGGCTCAGTTTCCTTCCTCTAGTCTCTGGTCACCTGGGAGACCTAAAACAAACACCGGCTGGCGTTAGGTCATGCTTCTGCAATCACATCCACTTCCTGTGAAGTCCAAGAACAGTGTGTGAGTGTGTGTGTAGCAGGTGGGTTTCTCCCCAACCTTATTTAGAAAAACACACTGGTGGAAGAGTTGGGTTACAAACACTTACTGAGTCCAACAGTACGTTTTCAGCTAATGTTGACGCCTTTTCAAAGCGTAGCTTGCTGACTTTCTCCCCTTGTAGCTACAGCTGTTGCGTGGAAGTGTTTCTCTGGACGTCCACTAAACTCTCTTTCCTGGGCCTCTCTACTGCTCGCCTTCATTTGAGTTTATTTTGAGGTGCAGACAGCACAAATTGTAGCAATCAGATGCAATCCACAAACTGTTCATTTAAACCCAGTGACCGATAAAACTGATTACAATGATAAACGGAGCCTCAAGCATTTCTCAGATACTTCACATAGCAATGCAGACTAATACCAGTCATGTGCGCACACCGTTTGTTCCCCGCAACAACAATACCTTTACAAACCAGTGTTTTGTTCAAGTAAACTATGATGAAGCAGGTTCTATAAATGAAAGGCAAACAATGACAGGTCAAGTAAAACAAGTCCCATGGCTCCTGCCACAAACATCTTGGGTGATCACAAGTGGGCGGCGTAAATTTTGTCTGTTCACACTTGACTTTAAAATTCATTCTTCATCGTGGCTGTGTCTCCTGTGACTTCTTATAATTAGATCTCACTTCCCCACTCTATATGCAGATACACGCACATGTCATTTCTGTTGGCAAACACCAAACTCCAAACTATGTAGTTTTTATCCAGAGCCCGATATCACTGTGTTGATGTGTGTCTGCGTGAGCAAGAGGGAGAGAGAAAGAGTGAGAGAGGAGTCAGGAGGGGCTGAATGAATCACATGCGGCTCTGCTGGTTAGACAGATGTTACCGATTTAAGATAAGAATCAATCATTATGTGGCGGTAAATAGTGGCAGCGGTCACAAACAAATCGGACACAGAGAGGCATTAAAATAAGTTTGATTTATTGTGAAACTGTCAGGGGACGCAAGCAGAGGAGCCAGTCCTGAATATGTGGCCCAGGATGGACTGGCGTTCACACAACGAAAAGAATGTGGCCATATGCTTCCAAGACCACCTTCTATGTGGTTTGAGTGATCAGATCTCAGGACAGATGCTTGTTAGGACCAGGTCTAAACTGGGTCGAGACTTTGCATGTTACAGTGAATTTCATATCAATAATATATGAAGATCTGGAATGTTTAATTTATAGTGTTGCCTGGAAGACGTGAAAGTAATTTATCTGCTGTGAAATTGCATTTTAGCCTGAAATATTTAGGTTTCTTGACCCTATCCCTCTAGGTAACTGCAAGACATTCTTGTTAACACTGCTGACACTGGGCCTCATGTTTGCTGTCAGTGTACCTGTCAACATTCCTGCACTATGAGTATAAGAATACAGTATGTAAGGATGTGTGTTTGGCTGTTAGCTTGGACAGCTAGGGCTCCGAAGCTTCTCTCCAACACTCTCGCACCCAGGGGATGTACTCTGGTCTTGCTCATCACCAGAAAAAGGAAACTGAACGTGGCAGCTTTGTGTACATTACCACATTCAATGGGACTGGATACGTCCCATTTCTGACTGACTTCAACTGTGTCAGGGGTGTTAATAATGACAGAGCACATCGCTGGGCACAGGTCGGCTGAGATTATATCACTTAAAGAGAAAATAAATATGAGCTACTAACAAAATATAGATGCGTCTTGGTTACGGGCCAGCAGGCGCAAGTCTATAAAGACGAGTTGTCTTCTGTAGCTGTACTCACTTAATCCCTTCTCCCTCTCTGTACTCATCACAGACTCCTTCAAACATGTGTAACTGCTCAGCTCATGTGGTTGTGCAGGATGGTAGGTTAACCAAGACATAAACACTCCTGCACCAGAAGATGGATTTGCACACAAGCTTGCTTTCCCACACACAAACACAAGCACATAGAAAGATAAACAGTTTCTTCAAGTTATGGAAACCAGGATGATGTTTGCTTTCCTTTCCTGATCATCCAAAACACTTGTTTCAGGGTGAAATACTGAGAACACACACGAATAGGTGCTGCAGTGATAAGATTCACTTGTGCTTTCTGAAGTGAAAACAAAAAGCAAGAAATCAAACGAGGCCTTTATAGGTAGATGGTATAGTCGACAAAGTGTATGAGACAAAGTGCGTGTCTGTGCACACATGTCACACACTCCCGGCCCAGGATGGCGGCAGACGAGCTGCAGTCAGTCTCCTGGCAGACGATACGGGATCTGCGCCACGCCGATGGGATTTCAGCACTTTCATTTATCGACACACACACACCCACACACACATACATGCAAACAAACACACAAACACACCTGTCTCCCTCCTAATGACAAGGATCAGGTTGTGCAGAGGAAACACTTGGTAATTCAATGTTGATTTTTTCTTCTTGTCTCTTCATCTCTTCTTTTACAAACATGGGAGGCCTTCTCTTTGGCTTCTTATAGAGACATTAATACCCTGGGCAGACGGAGGATATGTGCATGCGAGACCTCAGGTACTCTGGAAGAGGAGGCTATGGGAGCAGGGTAGGACAATGGTGGGGACTAGGAGAGGGAAGAAAGGCTCTTTTGTGATTAGTGGTGGATGGACAAGCCCTGAGGGAAGCTGCTTCTTGTAAGATGGGTGGTTCTTGGCCCGGACCCTCTTTTCTTGTGTCCTCCTTGGAAAAGGAGCCTCCGATCCAACACACAAGCTGTGATTTATAGATTGGTTCCTCTTTGATGCTGACATCTGTTTGATATTGCCTGACGGGTGGATTAAATGAGCCAACTGCCTCTCAGGGTGGCGGCGACCCTCATCGTTGCAGAGGGATGGGAAAGCAGACACTCGTTAGCAGTGACTCACAAGTAATTTCATGCCCGAGTGAGGGCAGGGATGAGATGATGTGAAAACATGGCCGCTGCAAGCAGAGTTCACATGAGAGATGACCATTATAGTTCTGTGTAGGATCCATGAATGCATAACTGTGTACAGTGCATGCATGTGAGCTGAAGAGTTTGACTGGCGGTGTGGGAGTGCTGTGTTTCTTCTCACAGCATCAAAGAAGACACGGTGAAGAGGAGGTGACATGGCAGGACAGGAGACGAGGCCAAACTTTGTCTAATGAGTTATAGTGTAATGGATCCAATGGGCAAAAAGAGACGCGTTATTCATACTTGGGCTCTAGCCACAGCGTAGTGGCAGTGTGAGAGCATATTGCATGCAACACACTGATTGAGGGTGAAAATGAATCTGCTGGAGAACCATGAGGAGTATGAGGGGGAGAAAGGGGGCATGTTATGCCAAGAGAGGGAGACGATGATTGCAGCCTGGCCTTCACACGGTTTAGTTTGACATGGCACAGTTAAAAAATGTGGAACGACTGATATCCAGAGATGGAAAACAAAACTAATCAACATCTTCATGTGCAAGGTTTTAGCAAGAAAGAAAACAAAAAGAGAGGAATTCAGGAAACAAGACTGTTTCCTGCTTCCTGTCTACTTTAAATCATGGAAATCTATTTGAAGCACAGAATGGCTGAAGGATCCAAGCAAAACACACACTGTCACAGAATGCACACAAATTATAATGTGTGAAATAGGCAAAGATTATTAGCTGTTGACATAGATAGAGATAGATGGTGAAAGACTGACAAAGTGGGAGAGAAAGCAGAAGGAGAAAAAGTTCCTGATTTACTGCTCATCAGACAGCGGTAATGAACATCCAGCCTCCAGACTGACAGCGAGCAGAACAGAGACTGATTGGAGGAATGTGGCTGTGGTCTGCTTTTAAAAACCGCAGCTCTTAGCTTCCAATTTGGAAGGACTGAAAATGAAAGTGGAGTAATTGCTCACAGTGACAAAGACATGGCAGATAACGAATCACATCAAACCAGATTTAGCAGGCTGAAATTATTAATAGCAGTTCCAGGAAGGATAGCCATGTCATGCTCTGATGAGCAAATGTGTTTTTGAACAATGATGAGAAAGAGGAGGGGGGGGGGGGTCAAAAGGGAGGATTGAACCACTTTCCAGATAATTTTTCCAATGTTGTGTAAACTCTTTTTAGTAAGAAAAGTCAAAGGAGTGAGCAGAGTCTCCCTCCTTTCCTTCCATCCCAGCCACCATTTCCTCTCACCCCCATCTGCCGATCCCCGTAGCCTCAACACGCTACCGCCCTGTGTGTGATTTTTGGGAGTGATGGTAGGAGAGGTGGAAGGGAGGGATTCTGGGGAGGAAGGGAGGGGGCACACAGAGTAAACTGAGCCTCCCATGTTTTTGGCACCTTGCAGAGTACAGAAGAAGAAGAGGGAGCAATGAGGGGAGAGAATATTGGATGAGTCAGCGAAGATATGGTGAAAGCCAAAGAGAAGAGACCCAGCAGGTCATGTCAGGACACACTGGAGTTTTTGGTGGATTTGGAAAACGTTGGGGGCATGGGGCACGTCCTGTAACGTCCAGAAGATTCGTGCTAGGCAAAACTAAAACCTTGAGCAAGGCAGTGGAAAATACCAGCTGTAGATTGTGGCAGCACTGGGCAGTTCTCAGCTCAGTTTATCAATGTCACCAACCCTCTGCCAAAAGCTTTTCCCAGAGAGGCAGCTCTGAAAAAGATTATGTTCTTATCAAACAGACACCGCCATGGCTGAACAGGCAAGCCAGCAGTGAGGTGGCTTGAGATTGATTTCCACTAATGGTCACTGCGTGCTGGGTGTTGAGCCAACAGTGAATGTACTCAGGTGAGAAGGAAAATCCCTGCAAGGTTTCTATCTTTTTCCTTAAAAGGCCCAGCAAAAGGGGTAACAGAGCAGTATTTGATTCTGCATATGAACATTTCTTTTAACATATATTTGGAAAATGAAAAGAGATAAATGAACAATTAACAATGGGATACATGGTTAAAAGTGGTAAACTGTAGTTTTAATTTCATGGGGTATTTATTATATAAATATTTTTCAAGTTTTGAGAAATTTAAAGACGTCATCTTGACCACAGACGATGAGACCACATGTTCTGCAGAAAACTGAAAACTGCTCCATGTCAGGAAATGTTGGAGAGATGTTGCCACAGTCAGCAGCTGGTGTGTGATGAACAACTCGACGTACATGCGAGAGAGCATAAGCGTAACTGTGGTCAAGCACCGAGCTGATGTTAGTTTAGTCAGATCATGTCCATCTGGAAGCACTTATATATAATACATTAAAATTGAGGTAATTTGACGCTTGATATTCAGCAGCTGTACTTTTTAAAAATTTTTTTAAATCAGGTAGTCTGAGCCTGAGACCAAGATCTCTTCTGCAAGAGTCTCGAGTAGAGAATAACATTAGTATAGATGCAGTAAAATATTGATTGGCCAAATGACTCTCATCATAAATGATGTTTGGAACCATAGAGAAACAGCTCTGTCCCTCAACAATGTGTTGGGGTTTAAAATCATAATGAATGCCACAGCTAAACATAGAAATTTTAAATTAAAATATAGATTTAGGGTGACAAAATTGGTGTGATCTGATTGATAAAAAAAGGAAGATAAAAAAATTTGGTAATAAAAGATTGGGAATGTGACATATTCTTATTAATTTCCATTTGTTTGTATTTTTCTAAATAAGTGTGGAATTTTATATTTGTAAGTATTTATTCTCATCTTTTCTCTGTGTGGATGAACTGTCACTATTGTTTGCTATCCCACTCGGCTTAAATTGCCTATATAATATTATAAAAGAATTCAGTCAAGGCAACAGTATGGGAAATAAAAAATTGCTGATCTTCGTATACTATCAATATTACATTTAAAGCAGAATGAAAATCTGCTAAATTCCCCTGAAGTACAATTTATTTGGATTCGCATGAATTGTGATATTTCACAAACTGTGTAGAAACATCTATATTCCTAAATGCACAGTCTAATCCATTCATTCATTCGTGTGATTACTTCTGGGAAAATCATGACAAATCAGTATCACTCGTTTGTGGATGCAATATTTAAACTGTCGTGTCTTTCTCACCTCAAAGTTGACAGACAAATTCCTCTTGAGGGCAATTTCATAGACCAGGCTGATCTCTGATTTGCTGGCATCGGTGCCTTCCTCACTCTCCCCTTTCTCTTCTGGGCTCTGGGAAAGAAAAACAAAGAAGCACAGGTCAAAACATTAAAAGAAGTCACTCAGGATTGTTATTACTGTGTCAGCTCTTTGTATAAGGTGTCGAAAAGGTGTGCTATTCTGCAAATCTAGTTAAAGTCATGCTGCTATTTCTCATTATTAGAGTTTCTTTTGAATTACAAATTTTAAATCTTATGGTTTTACATCAAATTGGACACACACGATACCATGAACAAGTGTGTACACTGTTAAACCCACAATATGTCAGGTAACATTATGTCTGTGGATACAGCTGCATTACGAATGCTAACCCTGTTGCAATGGTATTATCATAGTGTGTCTACTGGGCTTAAACAAAGTGAGGTAGGTGCAAGGTGTTCTCCCCATAGCATTCCTGGCAAACGCAATATCAAGTCCCATAAGATTTCTGCAGATATGAAACTATATTCAGTCATAAAGAACATTTAGTGCTTGAGGCCTGCTATGATGTTCTTTCATGGGCGGATATTTTTTTTTATTAATTTGGACAAATACAGAGATTTTGTCTTCAGAATTGAAATGAGACAATCCTCCATTCATGTTTTTTTTTTGCAATGAAGTAAACGGAAACAAATGCGTTGCAGTCTTTTTTCTTCACGATACTGAAAAACTAAAACATCATGACCCCACAAATGGTGGCACACATCAAACCAAGACTTTTCCACTTCGCCCACATGGAGCGTGGAGGTCCGCCAAGCTGCTGCAACAAGACGCGTGTCTGTTTTCTGTCGAAGATCCTTATCTGAGACGAGATTGAGAACTCAGTATTCCTGGACATGACTGGTGGTCCTCTGTCTGTACAGGAAGGTCTCTCTTAAAAAGGGGCTGTCTGTAAATTTGAGAATTATTGTCTATAAACTCCCTGTTCTTGATAGTCAAATTATTATTTGTGAACATCAAGAACTGCATCTCCCTCCAAACAGAAACTGGAGAACAAGACCTCAGAAGAAAAGGGTTGTCAGGGTCAGTGGGAAAGCACCAGCAGATTTTATTGGGATAACTACATATTTGTTGGATCCAGATCGACCTAAAAACATTGCTTGTGTTAAAAAGAATTCTTTTTTTTTTTTCAATCCACAGAATTTGCCGCCCATGAATCTATGAAGTAATTGTGGACTTGATACCAGATGGCTCATGTCTGAGCTTTCAGTCAGTTTAATCGTTTTTGAATTACAAAGTTGGTGGTTTAGATATGGATCAGACGGAGTAAATCTGTGAGTATAATTTTCAGAGAGTCTATTATTTGCCTATGAATTAAAGTAATACTACGTATCCCTGCTACTAATAAAGAAACAAATCCCTCGTTTGCACTATAGAGATAATTTCAGTCATACACAGGGCTTTTTGGTGCCAATTGTCTATGGGAATGCAGAGTGCCGTCTCGATCTTTATCTTCTCATGTCCACCTCTTTGTCTGATTAAGTCTGAATGGCTGGTGTTTCCCTTTGGGCTCCTTCCCTTCTCCTCATTGTGTGACCCGATACGTTGTATGATTCATACTGTGAGATCTCTTGGATTTCACAGGAAACAGTCACGTGGTCTGATGCACCTACTGCACTGGGACCAGAGACTTCACTTTGGCAAGAGGTGCCCCTTGTTTTGTGTGTGCCGAGACATACTGTACATTATCTGCCTCTTGTGTTGTCTGAATGTATGTGGACATGAGAGAAACCCGAGAGGGAGTCAGTCTAAAGCGTGGCACAGTCTTTTCTTCTGCTTCTCTTCTTTTAATTTCTATTCATGATTCTTCCTCCACTGCAGTTTCTAGCGTTCTTGATATACGTATGATTAATAGCTTGACCCCTCTCAAGGCTGCATTATCAAGTCACTGGGTAGAAGTGTCTGCATGTGTCTGTGTATTCATGATCAAACTGGAATGACCAAATAGATCCTCAACCTTCCTGTGACAAAGACAGATAGGGACTAACTCTTGGTGCTCCTTCAACTCATGGATGTTACAGACACAAACTCCAGTAAAGAAGTAATACACAGCTTCGCATTCAATCTTGAACATCGAATTTCAGGACTTTTCATGAACAAAAGACAGTTTTATACATGGATCAAGCCTTATTACTGTAACAACACTTGCACATCTCATGTTTTTGTTTTATTGTTAACATTTGATCTGATTAGTTTTGGTTTCAGATTATAAATTTAGCAGCACACAAGACTTTTGTATGACATATTTTTCCTGTCCACCTGCAACCTGTTTACTAAGGTGAATTCAAAAAATTATATAAAAACAACTTCCCTTTCTATTTTTGTACAATATATTTGGGATTCATTGATTCATAAATGTTCAAGGACTTGTGAAGAGCCTGCATGTGGTGCTCTGAGACATTAACACTCATCCTGGAGGAGCTGCTTGAATGGACAGTGACTGTGGGCGAACAAAATGCTTCACATTCACATCTATGCTCATGGGAAGGAGAATGCTTTTCCATAATTGGAGAAAAGCATCTAAATCACAAGGATCAAAAGGAGCGGCTCGCAATAGAAAGAACAACATCAGTTTCTGAAAAGTAATTCTATTAAAGAAAGGTACAATTTCACAGATCTAAATATACCTTCCTTCACAATAACCATGTCAAGACCATGGCTGCTTTCTTCTAGGAACCGATAAAGTAGATTTCCCTTCATAAAAAACCCAGTCAAGCGATTTATTATGAGATAAACAAACTAGGTTACTGAAGACAGGAAGTTCACTTGTTTAACATCATGTGTCCTAATTTTAATAGAATCACCAGCATCATGAAACCACTGGCACTGGATTCATGAATTAGTCAGCAGTTTCATCACTTTGATGATATTGCCTGAGGCTGTGTAAAGTTGGAGGTGCTTCTTTTGTGTTTCCTAGGGTACATAGTGTTGCTTAACCTGGGTATAAACACTGTAATTAAAGCGTCACTGATATTTACCTGTGGTCTTCCACAAAATAAAAGGTTTGACAGCCCATGGTGAAAAAGAACACTATTAGCCTGAAGGTGTCTACGTATTAACACATGTACGAGCACACACACAACACACACACACGCACACGGAGACAGGATGACAGACATATACTGTAGACACAGTGTGCCTCAATTTGTAAAGCAAGACTCAGAAGCAACGGCAAACAAAGAGCTCATTTATGATGGCCGACGCCACAAGACAGCGAGTCAGGCAAGTGAGAGGAGCCAAAGCGTTTTGAATAACCATCGGTGATGCCAGGCATTGAGGATATGGGGTAATTTGATTTCCGGTGGGAGATGATAACAACAGTTAGCAGCTATGCCTGAGGGGAAACTCTGCAAAGGTACATTGACATTGGGAGTAGGCTGAAAGAAGGAGGAAAAAAAAGGAACGAGGAGCATATAACACGTCCCCTCCAGGTGCAAACTAAAACTGTGGAGATTACAGGGCTTAAATTATACATGAGAGTGATTAGAGATGAGGTGGATTGGTTTTCAATCTGATGAAAGCTGGTTATGCATTCATCTTAGTGACTGCAAAAAAATACTGCATAACACTCTTTAGAGGCTCTCCAGGGGGAGGTCCAACAGATCAGTCACACAAATCCTGAGTTTTCATTAAGGGAAGAGTTGTGAAGTGGACGGGGTCAAATGGAGAAAGAGACGGTCATGTGAGGTGGTCACAAAGAGGATTGAGGGTGCAATGAGAGGTGGAATCAACTTTTAGAAAGAAAATAATAAATGACAAACCTTCAGGTTGGAATAAATGAGTTTTGTGTTGACTAATACATGTATAATGTTCACGTTTGAGCAACACAGTTGAGCTAAGTGGATTTTATCATGAACCGATCACTCAACAGACAGACATTTCTTTTTGAGCAAACTTGTTATATTATAATTAGTAACAGTTGTCAAGAAATGTGATGGTTGTCAGAATAATGCACAACTGAATGTTGAGTAAAAGTGCAGAAACTTCCACTGTGGCTTTTGCAGAACAAGAACAGCGTCCTTCGGATAGTAAGCGTGAAATGAGGAGAGACATTGGGGCAAGACACGCAGCAAAGGATCAGAATCTGACCTGTGGCCACTGCAGGAGGACCGAAGCCTCCATGTGCAAGGTGGGCGCCCCGATTTCTTATATTGTAAAATCATAATGAATTGATCCAACAAACTAACATCTGCTGAAATTAGCAAAAAATATCATCTCTGTAGCCAAGGTCTGACACACAGCAGCTTATTTATTTGCGTCAGGGAGCTGTTTTTAAAAACAATTAAAAGGCACAACATTGCATTGAACCAAATATGGATACCAAATGTTTTTTTTAATTACCCAAGAATAATAAAATGGTGCCATATACTCTACTGTTTGTAATTTCATAGTGCTAATGCAATAAAAAGATTGTTGCAGCTGCCTGCGCAGTATAATCGGAAGAATTTGAAGTAATAAAACAACCTATTTTGCTTATTAAATTAATTAGAAACATAAATAACATTCTGCAAAATGGTGAGCAAGCAAAGTTCAGGATTTAACACTATTTTACTTTTGCAAAGTAGACAGAATTCCATGTTTTAACGGTACTGCACTGGAAGTTTCAGCGTGGGATTCTGTTAAAAACAACCAGTATTAGTGTGAGTTTAGTGACAGCTTATATGTGTGTGTGCGTGTTTACCTGTGGTGGCCGCTCTGGAATAGGTTCATTGCGCAGGGCTTGCAGGGCCTTCATGGCAGCGCTGTGTCGGGCTGCTTGGCGGGTGCGTCCCTCGCCAATAAACTCATTAGTCCCCACTGACAGTTGCACATAAAAGATCTTAGGAACAGGATAATGGTACCTGGAATGAACAGAATAACAGAATTGAAAAGGGAATATTTATTTTACTGTCAAAAAAAAACTGTTTACCTCAACATATGAGGAGCAAAAGGATATATGAGGATGTTTACACCCGAAAGGGGGCATTTATATCTGACATAAAAACAGATGAAAAGCAATGGAGGGGAGGCTCCAACTTTATGAGCCAAGTTATCACACCATTTACAGCGTTCCCAAATTAAAGGCCCATCACTTCATCAGGGTCAATTACAACACAAAGGCGTGTTGGCCAGCCACTTGAGTAATGTCTTGCTATTGAATCTCAGCTTAGCGATGCCTAACAAAGCACAGGGACATATATATCCCCTCCTCTTTCTTCTTGCTCCGCACATAGATTTTCCTCTCTTTCTTTGGGTCGTGACAAGAGCGGGACTGGGCTGTCACCGAAGAGATTTAGAGGTCTGCAAGTCCGCGTGTGTGATACCCCCTCCTGGGTCAGGGGGAGAATGGCTGAGAATGTCTGCCGGTCCGTGGACAAGGAAAGAGAAATAGTGGGAACGCTAGCGAGAACGGAGAGGATTCCCAAGTTTTTCATATCCGTCTCCCTGTCTGCTTTCTTCTCTGCCGGTATACACTTAAATTCACATGGACATACAGCCACCATATGTGGCAGACACAAACGGATAGCAGCAGTCAAGATTTATTGGTACAGAGTTTTAAACAGAGTCTATACAATAATTCCGTGGTTGGTCAAGGCACAGATTTTAATGAGAGTATAAAAATTCATAATTTGTGGATATGGTGGAGCTTACGTCACGATGTGCTGAAGAAAGCTAACAGAAATGCTTCCATCTCTTCTGTGTATACATATCTTTATTTCATCATGTGCGTGTGGGAATTTGGGGGACCCAAGAAGCTCGAAAACAGGGGGGCTAGAAAAATGTTTCTTTCTCAACTGAGCACACACATGCACATCATTACATGAAGACATCCCGAGTTGAAGCACCATATTCAACTGGGCTTCTTCTGAAAACTAAACACTCTCTCCTGCACGTATCAATATATTTAATGCCTGAGATCAGATGTTATGAGTCATTTCTTCTCTTAAGTGTTACAAGACAAAGAGTCTATAGCTGGCTGCACTGAGAAGCTGCACTAATAGCAGTCGGCATGAACGTTGACAAGACATTTCACTGAAAACCACAAATGTGAACCTCATGTACGAGGAAAATAAAAAAATCAAAGGATTACCAAAGTATTTCTTCTCTTAGAAGCACCATTCAATTTAGTTTGCCAATCTATTGACAATATTTCATTGGATCAGTTAAAAGCTTTGACCTGCAGATGTAGACTATGAAAAGTCAGGGATCAATAAATCGTTTGAGCAGCCTGCAAATACACAACAAGTATCACAGCAGCTCATCCCATAGATGTTTCACTAAAAACCAAACATGTCAACATAGAGCTAGAGGATGGGAATCACTGAAATAATAATAATAATAATAACTTGGATTAATAAAGCCCTTTTCAAGAGACCCAAGGACGCTTTACATGTGTCAGTGAAAGATGAATCATCTGAGGATCAGGAATCGTTTGTACACATAAGCCAAGTAATTAAACTAGTTATTAAAATATTTCAATCTGGACTTGACAGATGAATAGAATGACAACCATGGCTCACAGGCTACAAGTGATAAACTTACACACATTCTGTAATGTTTCAGTATATTTATAGTAATCGAGTCAGACTTGATTGAGCAGCTGCCCTGGGATGTGTCAGTGTTGGCCGGTTCCCAAAGGTACAGGAAAGAAGTATCGTTATGATGTACAGAAAGAAAAGTTACAGCTTCCTCATTTGGAGCTTGTCTTCATAGTTTAGGGCAATAATAACACTGTATGCACCAATTTGATGGTTGAGACTGAACAAGAAAAATGAGCAACCAAATGGTCACACAGATTCTTAACTCCCATGTTTAATTAGAAGAGAAAACAAAAGTTTACAGTCCGATATCTCTAATTTCACATTTAGCTCCAAATAAAGTTAGAGATACTATGACTTAAGTCCTGGCTTTGAGTTTATTGCCTCATCACAATCCACTGTGGCAATGTTGTCATGTCCAGATGTTACGTTCTTTGGTGAGTACAGTGTTATCACAACTAAGAGAAACTTTTGCAAAGTACATAAGACCGACTGGAATCTACCCCCAACATGATGAAATTATTCTGAAACTACAAGTGGACTTTTTCGGTCTGTTTTCCAGTGAAATACTAGAACACTAACTCATACAAGATAAATCTTTACAACGCGTCATTCCACTGAAACATCACTTCCCCCAAATCTCCTGACCATGAGTCAGCATTTTACTCCCAGAATTCCAGCAGGTCTTTCTCCAGCCCACAGCCCTCCTCTCATCCGTCTGCTCTCAGCTCCTCCTGGCCACGGGAGCCTTCCCTGGGCGGGGGCCCGCCTGGCCCTCGCACGTCAAGTGTGGCCCCAGGGTCTCAGAGGACATGCCAAGTGCAACATGGTCTTGGGCCAACAGCGCTGAGCAGAGATGGGAGCAGCTGGGGCTGGAGTGCTGAGTACAGGTGCAGAGAGGAAGAGAGAGAGGGATAAGAAAGAAATAGAGAAAGAGAGAGAGGGAGGGAGGGAAAGAGGGAGAGAGGAGAGAGAGGGGGACATGGAGGGAGGCCTGTGGGGGACCCTACTCCACAACGTGGGAAAGTAGTGGCTTACACACAAGAAAGTCAGCCAAGAACACAGGCGAGCACACGCACACACATCAAAATCATGCACTGCAGGCAAAAAAAGGCTGGAGAATCACGTCAGCACACTATGGCCAGCACAAAAATCAGCACATGCTGGCTGGATCTGCCTGTTCTGTGTTATCAATTATTATTATTGTTATTATTATTACTACAGAGAGGGAACTGGACCAGGACACCTGTGGGGTGGGTGTAGAGACGGCTGAAAGGGAAAGAAAATAATAAAAAAACAGGACTTTGTCTCGGTGATGACGTGATGGTATGTGTGTGCGTGTGTGTGTGTGTGTGTGTGCGTGTGTGTGCTCAGGGAGGAGTGACTGGGCGAGCGAGAGAAAAACCACCTGATGCCACAACTTAATCAAATGATAACTCATCAGCGTTTCACCATGAGTGATGAATTTCACTTTGAAGGCATCTCTTTAATGTGGGCTACATCAGCTCAGGTCACCATTTCATCATAATCATTCAAAGACGAACACACACAGAGACGGACACAGTCAAAGCTCCAGACGTGTAACGAGCCCACACGCAGTCCTACCAGGAAATTGGGAGATATGGTATTGCAATTATTACTATAAATGACAGGATGACATTTCAGCTGGAAACTATTTTCTCTTGTGGAATGGAAATGTGTTTACTTTGCAAATGCCTTGGCAGAAAAAAACTGCATGTATCACACTTGTTCTTCAGCTGAACACTAAATACAGCGACTACTTTTTATAGTAGTATACATTACATGAAGTGACGTCAGGGAGATCACATGTATGATGGCAAGCAACACACAAAAATACCCCAGTCCCATAGATGAGTCATGTTTCTGTAGTTTGTCTTATAGGTATGGCGCTCTTGGAAATCCTGCAGTGCATCATTTTCAGTAGTTACAGTGATGAACAACTGAAAGATTATTTGGCAGAATACTTAAAAAGCAAAACTGAATGAAGCGTATTCCCAAAATGTGGTTTGAACATGATACTTCTGGGAAAATAGTATGTGTAGTCCAGCAATTTAATGGTGTCCATGCTGCATGAAACAGCTTTCAAGTCACAGATAAATACATTTAAAAAAAAAAGATGCGAACACAAAGTGATGTTGAAGATTGCATCGGAGGTAAATAAAAAATATGTGGCCTGAAATTAAACACATGATATTACTGACCAGTTGCAGATGGAGCACAGGGAGCCATGAAAAACTTCAGCTGCTTTGGCTGGCAAACCCGTACAGACCGCAGCAATCAAAACCAAATGCAGGGCTTCCTTTCAGTCATAAACCTGCCATTCTGCCCATGAGAACGCATCAATCTCAGTTGTGCTCAGAATAGAACGCCACCGTTAATCAGCCCGGTCGACCGTGACTTGTTGTTAGGAGCATCAGTGGATGTCACCTCCACTTCCCATTAGTCATTAAATAGTAAATAGACTCCTCTTCCAGCAATTAAGGTCTGTTGATACTGGCTGTGGTGAATGTAGTAGGTGCCTACACATTGTGCAACAAGTTCACTGCCTGTCACTCTGAAACGTGTCTAATAAAGCTTTGGAAGCAATCAGTGTCAGACTGCACTTTAACTTTGAGGCATTTCAGATGATGGGATGAATTCCTGCTGGATCGCAGCGCTGCCATGTGCACAGACAAAAGAAACGTGCAAGCAAAAACATGGATCATTCAACTGCACGTCAGTGATTTGAAAATGCAGCAAAAGAAGATAATTTCATGTGTCAGCGCTCTTTGTGTAAATGGGAGCTTGGGGGGTGACAGATATTTTCTTTTTGCACATATTTCCCAGTAACTCAATGACAAACTTGGACTGATGATGTGATAATGGAAAAAAAAAAAATTGTTTGTGTGATGGTGCTGTCATTTTGGTTGGTCCTCTATTTCTTTAAAGAAAAATTACTACAAACTTGTGCTACTTAAATGTTGCACAACAAATAATTTAAGCAAACAAGTTTGACCTTGAATCAAGGAAAAGAAGACAACAAAGAACAAATGTATGTTTTTTTAGCAAGAGCATTACGCAGACCTCACAGTGCTGTACACTGATTGTTTGGCTTCATAACGTCGGTCGCAGCTTGTGTCTGGTTGCCGGATGACAGATTTCACTAAATTCATCTCACAGTTGTCAAGTTTTGTCCGACAGCCACAAATCATATTGTAAAACGGCCTTTACAAGTAACTTAAGTCAAATGAATCTTTATAGTGAATAGGCATTCCTCTGTCAATAAAGATTGGACTGTTTCAAATGGATGAATGTGTCATTTA